ATCCACACAGTCGAATGCCTTTGCATAGTCAATAAAACACAGGTAAACATCTTTCTGGTATTCTCTGCTTTCAGCCAGGATCCATCTGACATCAGCAAGGGTATCCCTGGTTCCATGTCCTCTTCTGAATCCAGCTTGAATTTCTGGCAGTTCCCTGTCAACACACTGCTGCAGCCGCTTGTGAATGATCTTCAGCAAAATTTTACTTGCATGTGATATTAATGATATTGTTCGATAATTTCTTCATTTGGTTGGTTCACCTTTCTTGGGAATAGGCATAAATATGGATCTCTTCCAGTCAGTTGGCCAGGTAGCTGTCTTCCATATTTCTTGGCATAGACGAGTGAGCACTTCCAGTGCTGCGTCCGTTTGTTGAAACATCTCAATTGGTATTCCATCAATTCCTGGAGCCTTGTTTTCCACCAGTGCCTTCAGCGCAGCTTAGACTTCTTCCTTCAGTACCGTTGGTTCCTGATCACATGCCACCTTCTGAAATGGTTGAACGTCGACCAATTCTTTTGGGTATAGTGACTCCGTGTATTCCTTCCATCTTCTTTTGATGCTTCCTGTGTTGTTTAATATTTTCCCCGTAGAATGCTTCAATATTGCAACTCGAGGCTTGAATTTTTTCTTTAGTTCTTTCAGCTTGAGGAATGCCAAGCATGTTCTTCCCTTTTGGTTTTCTATCTCCAGCTCTTTGCACATGTCGTTATAATACTTTACTTTGTCTTCTCGAGCCACCCTTTGAAATCTTCTGTTCAATTCTTTTACTTCATCATTTCTTCCTTTTGCTTTAGCTACTCGACATTCAAGGGCAAGTTTCGGAGTCTCTCTGACAACCATTTTGGTCTTTTCTTTCTTTCCTGTCTTCTTAATGACATTTTGCTTTCTTCATGTATGATGTCCCTGATGTCATTCCACAACTTGTCTTGTCTTCGGTCATTAGTGTTCAATGTGTATAGTCTATTCTTGAGATGATCTCTAAATTCAGGTGGGATATACTCAAGGTTGTACTTTGGCTCTTGTGGACTTGTTCTAATTTTCTTCAGTTTCAACTTGAACTTACATATGAGCAATTGATGGCCTGTTCCACAGTCGGCCCCTGGTCTTGTTCTGACTGACGATATTGAGCTTTTCCATCGTCTGTTTCCACAGATGTAGCATCTTTGCTTCCACAGCTCCATGCTCATTCCTCCATCCTAGGCCTTATCTCCTCTCTTGTTGTAAATCTTGGAGCAGGCCCTGCCTTCTCTGACTCCTCGGATGGGGCGTCTAGTAAGCCTTTGGATAGTGGACAGTTGAGTGTGGCAGAAATTGATTGCTGTTTACAAAAAATATTTTCCCTGTTCTTCCTGGCCACATGACTGGACTACATTTCCCAGCATTCCTTGAAGTTTACCAAAACCCACTTGCTGTGGAGTGGAGTGTGACCTATGGCAACCCATGTGTGTCAGATAGAACTTTGCTCCACAGGGTTTTCAATGGCTGATTTTTTGGAAGTAGATCTCCAGGCCTTTCTTCCGAGGTGCCACTCAGTGGACTTGAACTTCCAGTCTTCTGGTTAGCTGCTGAGCTGGTAAACTTTTGCAGCAGTCAGGGACTCTTCCCTTGAAGTTAGGCGTGACCCCTTGATTGATGGTTCTAACCACTGAATGAGAGTTATGTGTGCAGTTTCTGGGCTAAACCTTTTCTTTTAAAATCAATTCTATCGAGGTACAATTTACGTACAGTAAAATGCACCCTCTTAAAGTGTACAGTTGGATGTATATTCACACTATTAGATTGAGGTATATCACCACTACCATGATCAAGTTATGGAACATTTCCATCATTCCAAAAGGTTTTCTCATGCTCCTTTGCAGTAAATCCCTCCTCTGTCCAGGGGGTCATTCATCTGCTTTCTGTTCCCACAGATTAGTTTTGCATATTCTAAGATTTCATA